TCTACATTTTCAGATTAGCTGCCCAGAGTGCAGACTGAATGAGGACTGGGGAATGATACAACTCTGAGGCACACCCTTCATGCTTTTACACCATGCAGTATCCCCTAGTTCTGTTCAAGCAACAGTCCCTTGATCTATGTACAGGTTCCTCCGGAGCACAATTAAGGGTTGAGAAGACCCATTCTTCTCAGTGTTATGCATAATTGGTTATGATCCATACAGTCGAATGACTTTGCCTGGTCAGTGAAACACAGGTAAACAGCTTTTGGTATTCCTTGCTTTCAGCCAAGATCCATCTGACATCAGCAATGATATCCCTCGTTCCACCTCCTCTTCTGAATCTGGACTGAATTTCTGGCAGTTCCTTGTCCACGTACTGCTGCAACTGTTTTTGAACTATCTTCAGCAAAATTTTTTCTTTTAATTTCTGTTGTGATTTGGGTGAAAGTTTACAGAGCAAATTCATTTTCCATACAGCAGTTCACATACATTTGTCTCATGACGTTGACTGCCATTTCCCACAATGCAACTGCTCTCCTCCCCCTTCCTCCCCATATACACCTCTTCCCTGTGTCCACCCCTCCATGCACTCCTGCCCCCCAAGCTGTCTCCCTGTGCATACACAGCCCTTCTACTCCCCCGTGATTGTTCTCTCCAAGGAGTGTATCTTCCTAATGGAAATGTTCAGCTTATATGCTTGTCTTTTGTTTGGCTGAAAGCCACAAAGGTGAGTTCAATTCCAGACCTGAAGGGCAGCTAGGGGCCATAGTCTCAGGGGTTCCATCAGGCTCTATCAGACCAGCACACCTGGTCTGTCTCTCTCTCTTTTTCTTTTTTTCTCCAAATGATTTTGGGTTTTGTTCCACGTTGTTGTCCCGCTGTGCAGGATCTCCCTCTGAGTGGATGACAGTGGTAGCCAGGCACCATCTCGCTCTTCTGGTCTCATAGCCGAAGAGGCTGAGGATCGCGTGGTGTACCAGTCACTTGGACTAATTGTTTCCATGTGCCTTTGGTTTTCTTCATTCTTCTTTGGTCTGGACGAGGAGACACCCATCGTTGCATCTAGATGTCCTCTTGCAAGTTTTGAAGAGCACAGTCGCTACTCGCCAAAGTAGGAGGTGGAACAATGTTTTTGTGTAGTATGTTAAGCCAATTGAGCTTGATGGCCCCTGTGACCATGGTCCCGAACCTTCAAGTCCAACTACTCGGTCCCTCTGGGTAGCTGGCTGTGACCAAGAAGTGACTACAATCTTGTCCCTGTCAGCTCTACTATACATCTGGGAATTCTTAAAGAATATACCAATACACTTGTAGAAACATTGTCTGACAACGCTATGTGTGGTCATGGGTACAAACCTCACTGCATAGACATACCTAATAGTTCACCCTGTCCACCCATCTCTCCATCCATATAGCCATGTTTGCCTTCACTGACAACACAGTACTGTATGTGGGAAAGGGTTCATCTCTGCTGTCTGTACCTCCCATGTACTTCTCTGTGTCTTCCTCTTTCTCAGTGCCACCATGTTGATCACTCACATTTGGTGCATTGCCCTTCTCTTCCCCAAATCAATACTTATCTCTATTTGTCTAACAGTGTTCCTTCCCCTCCCTTCCCACCCCTGGCAACCTAAAAGAAAATTTCGTTCCATAGATAAACCTTTGCTTGACTTTTACAATAATGGACTAATACAATATTTGTCCTTCGGTGACTGACTTATTTCACTCAGCATAATGTCCTCCAAGTTCATCTACGTTATGGGGTGTTTTGCAGATTCTACGTTATTTTTCAGGATTTCTTCAGCAAAAGTTTACTTATGTGATATTAATGATACTGTTTCATAATTTCTGCATTCTAATGGATCACCATTCATTAAAAAAAAAAAAAAACTTAAAACCTCAAAAAAAAAACACGAACCAAGCTCACTGACATCAAGTCGATTCTGACTCATAGCGACCCCTTCTTCGGTTTTCAAGGTTGTATCTCTATGGAAGTAATTATATGGGCTTTTTTTAAAAAAGGAATTGCATACTATTTCAGCCCCATATATTACAACCAGTTCAAGTTAGATTGTGGTCCCTGGGTGTTGCAAATGGTTCAGTGCTCAACTGTGAGCCAAAGATTGGCAGCTCAGACCCATCCACAGAAGACACCTTGAAAACCCGGGGAGCAGTCCGACTCTGCACACATGTGCTCACCGTGAGTCAGAGTTGATTTGCCGGCAACTAACAACAGCAAACTAGATTATTAGCTAAGTTTGAACAGCATAACTTTATATGTTTTTAGGGGATAATATACCCACTTCCTTCGGAGCTCTGGTAGCATTGTGCCTAAGGCACTTGACTGCTAACCACAAGGCTGGCAGTTCAAACCCACCAGCCACTCCTCAGAAGGAAGATGGGGCAATCTACTTCCATAGAGATACTGCCTGAGAAACCCAAGGAGGGGTCACTATGAGTCACGTCCAACTGGATGGTACATAACAACAACAACAACATACCCACTCCCATTAATTCGATTCTGACCCACAGCGCCCCTAGAGGACAGAGTGGAACTGCGCCACAGGGTTGCCTAGGCTGTCAGTCTTCACAGAAGCAAAGTCCAAACCACACCCACTACTCTGGAGTCCATTCTGACCCACAGCACCCCTAGAGGACAGAGTGGAACTGCGCCACAGGGTTGCCTAGGCTGTCAGTCTTCACAGAAGCAAAGTCCAAACCACACCCACTACTCTGGAGTCCATTCTGACCCACAGCACCCCTAGAGGACAGAGTGGAACTGCCCCATGGGGCTTCCAAGTCTCTCAATCTTTCCGGAAGCTGACTGCCTCACCTTTGTCCCATGGAACAACTGGTCGTTTTGAACCACCGACCTTTTGGTTAGCAGCCAAATGCTTTAATCACTATGTCACCAGAGCGCCTTAGGTGGCAATATAGGGAAATAGATAATGTTCTCCGAATAGGAACAATTCTGTAAAGAACAGTGCAAGTACTAATCCTGCAGGAAAAGATTGAGATGTTACATTACAGATAAGAAGGTTTCATTAAAAAAAAATGTCATGTTGTTGTTAAGTACTGCCAAGTCATTTCTCAGTCAGAGTGACCCCATGTCACAGGGTAGAGCTGCTTGACAGAGTTTTCTTGACTAAAATTTTCACAGAAACAGATAATCAGGGTTTTCTCCTGCAGAGCCAACGGGTAGGTTTGAACCACCAACTTGTTTGTTATCAGCCGAGCACTTAACCATTTGTGCTGCCGGGGCTCCTTAATTAAAGAGAATGAAAAGACAGATCACAAGTTGAGACAGGCTATTTGTGATGCACATAGCCAACAAATGATTACCCTTCAGTAATATGAACCGCAATGGATCAATAAGGAAATTGGAAATAATCCAGTAAAATGGCCCAAAATTCAACAGGCATTTCACAGGAGACAACAAATAAATGACTTTCAAACATATAAAGAGATGCGCAAGCTAATTAATCAGAGGAATGGAAAATAAAACCACAATATGATGCCCTTTGACCTCTGTTAGGTCAGAAAAACATTAAAAAGTCTGAGAATACCAAGTGTTGGCCAGGGTGTGGAGCACTGAGAACTCCTGGTACATGTGTAGATCAGTCTGACCACTTTGGAAAATTGTTTTGTGTTATTTAATAAATGGAATATGCACACATCCTATAACGGAGCAGTTCCATTCCCAGGCGGGCACCCTAGACATTCTCACACAGGTGCAGAAATGCTCACGGATGCATTGTTTGTAATAGCTCCCAAACTCAACTGTCCATTGAAGGCAGAATGCTTAAATGAAGTGTGCAATGGAATAACCTATAGCAACGAAACGAAATGAAATAAGCTAATGCGTGGATGTGGTGCAGGATACTGAGCAAAACTTTAAGTCCCTGAAGAGACATACAGCATGATTCTACTGACACAAAGTTCAAAAACCAGCCAAACTAAGCAACACACTATTTCAGGGTCCTTACATAGTTACAAAGCTGTTTTAAAAGAAAAGGAGTGATAAACACAAACTTGAAGGTAGTGTTTAAGCTCTTGGGGAGAGGAAGAGATGGAGACTTGAGAGGGGAAGCGAGTGCTTCAGTGGTACTGAGTCCCTTTCTTAAGCTGGATGCGGAGTACATGGGTGTATGGTGCACATGTGTTAAAACTGTATGCGATACCTTGGAATGCATTTGTCATGCATTTGCTAGAACATCAATAAATGTAGTTCATATTTTCATGGTCTAACCCACCAGCCACTCCTCGGAAGGAAGGTTGGGCAATCCTACTTCCGTAGTGATACTGCCTCGGAAACCCAAGGAGGGGTCGCTATGAGTCAGGTATGACTCGACGGCACATAACAACAACAACAACAACAATTTCAACAGTGCAGTTGGGCCTATCTGATCCAAGAAAAAGAGCTCTGGTGGCACTGGGGTTAAAGCATTTTCCTGGTAACTGAGAGCTGTTATTGCAACCCACCAGCCACTCTGCAAGAGAAAGAGGAGGCAGTGGGTGTGGTTTGGGCTTTGCTTCCAGTGGGTGTGGTTGGTGATTGCTTCTGTGAACAGTCACAGCCTTGGAGACCCTGTGGGGCAGTTCCACTCTGTCCTCTAGGGGCGCTGTGGGTCAGAATGGACTCCACGTCAGTGGGTGTGGTTTGGGCTTCTGTGAAGATTGACAGCCTTGGAGACCCTGTGGGGCAGTTCCACTCTGTCCTCTAGGGGCGCTGTGGGTCAGAATTGACTCCCCAGCAGTGGATGTTGTTTGGGTTTGTATCCAAAAAACAAATTTTTATGACGATAACTTGGCACACTGTTTCCATGGTGAGTAATGATGTAATTTCATAGTGAAGGCCGAATTGGCTATATTGTATTATAAATTCCAGCTCTTGATCAGATATCCAGTCTGACCTCCTGAGCTGACTACTCAATTGTGATGTGATGGCAGCTGCTAGAATGGAGATACCATTAACTTGTGCCCTGTGATGTTGGTTCCAGCAGGAGCAGAGACAAACCAACTCCACAAGCGGTGGTGCTTTTACTTGGACAAAACAATTCAGCCTGGATTATTTAGCTCTTGACTTTAATTCGGCATCACCAGCCCCTGCACAAAAGGTATGACTTTATGTCGGAAAATTCCCAGGTTATTATATTTCTGTTTAGAGTTTTGAAGCCAGCCATGCATCTCTTGAGAGAATCTTAGAGACACAGCCATGCATCATGAAGGATGTTAAAATCAGCCCCAATCCTGCCACTCAGAGAAAAGGAGTCTGATGTGTTACCTTCCAGGGTATTTGTTGGTGCGTGTCTGCGTCTATGTTCTTCAAAATGTGGACCATAAAGTTTACAGAGAAGTTTTGCAGGCAGAGATGAGGGTGGGCTAAAGGACGTGAGAGGCATAGTAAGGACCTGCTTAGGGAACAACTCATGGCCAGTCTGGCAAAGGGAGTCCTAAGTTGAGAGTGGCCATGCAGTGAAGGACCTTGAATGCCACATTGAGCAGTCCTAACTCCTTTGGGTGCTGTTCTCCTCTGTAAAGTGGGAATAAGCGATAATAACACCTACCTCCAAGGGCTATTGTGGGGATTAAATGAGTTCATACAGGAAATGGGTCAAAATCCCAAACTAGGGTAACTCGCTGCACAGTGAACAGATGCTAAGCAGGGGGCAGCATGGGATGGTCATAATCAAAATTGTGCCTGATAATGTATTGCTTGTTGACAAAAAGCAATCCACAGAACATATTACATAGTATGATTCCATTGAGGAATATAAGCCCTGACCATCACCTGCAGTGCCTCCTCCAGCTGGTGAATGAGCTGCTACTGCTCCTTCAGCTTTAATGTCATTCAAAATTGTGAGCTGGGATTCCAGAGAACCTGCTCAGAGGGTGGGATGAGCAGGTGCAAATGCAAAAAGTGCATCAGTCAGTTTGAATATGCTATGCAGTCAAAACAAACAACCCCTACTTCTCAGTGACTTAACAACCAGTAAGGTGTCTTTTCAGATTTGGCTCAGGGACTGTCCGTTGCAGGCTGGGAAGTTCTGCTCAGGGTCATTTCCCAACTAGGGCCCAGGCTGCTCAGAAGGAAAGGAGAGCTGGCACCCAGCACATTTGCTCACATTGTATTGCTGAAAGCAAGTCAGATGCCTCTAGTGACGTTCAAGGGAGTGGAGTGTAGCTGGTTCTTATCTACGTGCACACAGAGTACAGCCCTTACACGTGGGTGATCAGAGGAGGGCAGCAGATGTGTCGCCATGGCATAATGTACCACAGGGGTCATGCAAACCCTCTCTTCTCTTTTCCCTGCAGAACGTTTTTCTTTCAGAAGAGCAAAGAGTAGACTACGTCCAGGTGGACAAACAGAAGACGCAAGCTCTCCAGAGCACCAAGCAGGAGTGGGCTGATGAGAGGCAGTCAAAAGTATGAGGGATGTGCGTTTGGGGTTCTGCCTGACATGGGAGATTGTGGCCAGGGAGGAGTTTTTGCAAAGCTAGACCCACACTGGTGATCCACACAGGTCAGAACCAAAAGAGAATGGCTGGTTCCAGTGTCTTGATGAGAACCCTGAAGAAAGGGGACCTGCTCTCGTAGGCTTTAATCAGGGAGAGAAGGGAGACCCTGAGCTTCAGCCTGTTGCACCAGATCCTTGGAGTTGATTGTGCAATCCTCCACAGAAGAGCATGTAGCAATCTCCATCCGTTTAGGTAGAAACAGTACAAAGCAGGCTTAGGAGAACATTTCTCCTAGAGTTTGGTAAAATCTCACAAGTGAAGTATTTGGAGAGAATATTGGAGGCAAAACTGCTCCCAACAGAGTGGGATCATTTCCCTCCAAAGACTGGCACCTTGTGCCACCCCCTGCAGCTACAGCTGGGGAGATTAAGCCTAGCTGTGGGTACTAGAGTTGTTCATTATTCCAAAGACCCCAGCAGTCAAAGACAGACATGTCAAGGTGACAGGGCGATGATTCCCAGGGTCTGTGAAGCATATGAAATGGCTCTGGTGGCCCTCAGGACTTTGTGGCTGAGCAGCCACCTGTGGCTCAGTGTCCCGTTGCTGTCAGCCCCCCCCCCCAAGTGTGCCTTCCCCCACATCATCTCATCTGGCCCCGGGCTGGCCCCTTTTGGACCCAGCTTTTGAGTGATAACAAGAAATGACCTGAAAAAGAATGAGTTTCTTTTCTCAGGTTTCCCTATACATGTTCACTTCTGCTTTAGAAATGACAGGGCTGTGAGACTGCAAACACTACTGCTTTATAAAGTCGCCACCGTGTGACCCCTTCCTTTACAGGCTCCTGTGGTCATGCACCTCAGAATGACAGTCTCAGTAGGGCACAGGGTCTCATTTAATGGCCCTTCCTAATCCTTCTGAGTACCTCCAGCCAGAAGACATATCCTAACATCTCTGATTAAACGGAGACTGCTCTGTCATCCCCACTTGACAAGAGTGGATCAAACAGGCTTCAGGCCTGGGATCGTCAGGGTGCTGTGGCTGACGCAGGCTTTGCTGCAGGATTTCAGGGTTGCCAGCTGTTCCAAAGGGATGTTCATAATAAAGTAATTCTGATTTCCCAAGTGGCAGGCTCTGGGGACACCATTCCCTCCTCAGGCAGAGAATGGGGGACTGGGCAAGTGCCCTGAAGGAGTTCGGAGCCCTCAGGGAGCGCAGGCAGGGTACTGGGAAGGCTCCCTGTCCTGGACCAGCTCTACATGCAGGCACGAGGGTGGCCCAGGTCACCAGCAAAGAGTCCCAGAACCTCCGGCAAGAACTCAGGGCTCTAGATTGCCAATTGGAATGTGTGTGGGGCACATGTACATAGATATTTTGGCAGAAAATTTATATTCCCAAGGATCAAGAATTACACTGGACTGAAGATAGATCAGAAAAGAGAATATGGCTGACATTATGTCAAGAGAAATGTCATTCACTTGATCACACTTGAGTAGCATGACCTGTTTAGGAGTGATTAATTAAAGCCAGGAATGCTTTTAATATGGGCTGCCTAGTTCAGAGGTATGCATGGGGATAGGGTGCAGAAACTTATAAAAAAGAAAAGGTGAGTTCACTCTCATTTCCAGAGTGTCATTAAATCATGCCCTGCTTTGATAAAACTGCTAATGGATGATGGCTAAGCAGAACATGTCACAAGTCCGAGGAACAAAGGGCAGGTAGTTTTTGGGCTTACAGCAGCATGTGACCCTGGCAAAAAGCATCCCGGGTCTAAATGAGGCCAGGAAGTCCTTGTTTTCTGGCAGTAACGATTGATGTGTAATACAGGGCTATGTTCTTGATGAAGGCCCTCATGGTCTTTTATAGAAGTGATCTCAGGTACAGGTCTGAGCCCAGGACAGATGACATGTCTGTACGCTGTATAATGTACATCTTCCTAAAAGATGTGAAAATCTACCTGCCAAGGTAGTGCCATCATTAATTGCATATTGTTTTCTGTCATTCATTTTTGTTTCGTTTCGTTGGGAAATTCCTCCAGGTCAGGGGCTGTGCAGTGAAGGAGAAGGGACTGAAGGGTCTCAAGCTTGCAAGATGCAAAGGCCATCAGCCCGAGACCTTTGGGAGTTAAGCTGTGGTTGGGAAGGGCAGATCCCTGCGGCCCAGAACCCGGCCTGGCTGTAACAATGGCAACAAGTGCTCCAGTGGGAGTCTCGCCACTTCACCTGGGAGCAGGGATCGAGGACGGATTGAAGGCTCTCCTTAGGCTTGGCTTTATCCCCAGAAAGGCTTCCTCCGACCCAGTTCACATCCCATGTGTACCCACGACCACACTGATTCCAAACATTCACTTTGTTTTTGCGAGTTGCATTTTTGACATTCATAAAAGTTTAATCAAGAGGAATAATGGCTAATACTGCATTGATTCAGGCTCATGTCGCACAGCCAATTACTGTAATTACTGTCCGAAGGTTGTGTGCACCTGTCACTTTCCATACAGCATTCCACATACACTTTGTCTCATGACATTGACTGTGCAATTGGCAAAAGTTGTGTGATATATATATTGCCAACAATGACAGAAAGAAGGAATAAACAACGAGAGTAGCTGGTGAGGCTGCTTATATACAACCAAACACCTCATGGGATTTGGTTCCTTGGCTTGGAGGTTTGGGGTCTTGGTTTCAGGGAGCGTCCCAGTTCATTGGCTTAATCCCGTGTTTAGTGCCTCTACTCCACCTCCTGGTCCATTTCATTGTGCCTGGGGTCTTAAAAGTTTGCAAGCGGCCATCCAAGGCACCATAGTTGGTCTCCGTTTGCCTGGAGCAAGAGGAAGGAGAGTCAGGAACAGGAGGATGACATGGAATGTGTGGCTAACTGTCTCCATGAACAACTGCCTCATTTGCCATAAGAGCAGAAGAATGGGGTGGTACCTGGCTACCATTACTAAACATTTGTATGAAAGATTCTATAGAAGAATCCTCATCCGAAGGGGGAAAGGCCTAACAGAATTGACCATTCTCATGCACTCCCGCCTTCATGGAGCCGTGAAGGAGAACGAACCCCTGAAACTGTTGCTCTGGGGGGCTCTTTAACCCTTAAATCCAAAATAGCCCCAAACAATAGTTCAGCTTAAACAGTAAAGAAGGTCTGCTTAGAGCACTATGCCCTATGAAGAACTATGTCTATGGGACCAAATTGACAACAGCAACTTGAAAGTTTAGCTAGCAACTTAGGAGGCAGTGAGTTCAAGTGACTGGGGCAGGAATGACAGAGAAGGAGGCCAAGAAGGCTGCCCGCCTCAGAGAATGCCATCGGTGTCACCGACTGGTACCTGGAGAAACTCAGCTTTTTAAAAGGGGAGTAATGGCTTAAGCTCCCTGTATTTGGTTTTAAGTTACGCTATCTGATGGAAATAAGGAACCTGCGTTTTGAAAGCTGAGTGTTAGGAACAGAGTCTGTTCCCATTGTCGGCTACCTCGTACAACAGACTGCCTGACTGCCATGGAAGGAACTACATACATGTTATTACACTGCACACAGTCGCACTGACGGCTGTCGTTAATACTGCCTTTGCTTACTCAATGCACGTTTGGACATTTTGTCTTCTTTATGACACGTGTAATTTCCATAATGTGAAATAAACTAAGCTACTCTTCCAGACACCATGTACAGTATGATCTTCATTGTGATTCGTGTTTAAAAAAAAAAGGAAGCTCTCGGCCTCCCTGTCCCCAGCAGGGGATTTTTTCACCACCGTCTCCACTTGTCTCCATGGCCGAGTCCCCTAGCTGCCCTGAATGCTGCCTCAGTGGCATCTGTAGGCCATGAAGCAAGGCATGGACAAGTCACAGTGCGGGGGCGGGGGCTTGGGGAAGCAGGCAGACGCCATAGGGAGCCGTAGGGAAGATGATCCAGGGAGTGAGCCCCCGGGGAACACGGGGGGCTGTGCTCCTTGGACCTTTGAAAGGCTGATTTTTCAGAAGCAGACCGCTGGGCCTTTCTCGGGAGGCCCCTCTCTGTGGACTCAAACCGCCAGCTGTTTAGTCAGTACTTGAGCGCGTGCCCTTTGACACCACCCAAGGACTCCACAGAGAAGGGCTTTGCTGTCAGCGGCCTCAGAGGAGGCTCTGGCTCACGGGGCCCTGAAGGCCAACAGAGAGGCGCTTTCTGGTCCCGTGCCACCTTCATGGTGCTGGACCCCATCGGTGCAGCCGCTGTGGGGGGGGGGCGGGTCCGCTGGCCTCGAGGGCCCGTCTTCCAGCTGCGTGACGATCACATAGTGCTCGCTTGTGCTCCTCAGGGTTTTCAGTGACTGATTTTCAGAAGTAGGTCTCTGGACCTTTCTGCCTGATCCGTTTCGGTCTGGAAGCTCCACTGAGACGTGCCACCATCGGTGACCCGGATGGCATAGTTTCCAGCATCACAGCCACTGCCAAGCCACCACAGTTTGATAAACAGATAAAAGCTAACAGGTCGTGAAACAAAACTATCAAAAGCATTAGGGAAAATTTTATTATCTTGGGTGGGGATAGACCTTTGGAAGCAAAGCACAACAGTACTGAAGCAATGAAGGAAATATTAATTCAATATGACAGACCCTTAGGGATGCCATGGTATGTACCAGCTGACTGGTGCTGCGCATGCCCTGGGGAGCGAACCCACAAGGCCCCCTACTTAAGGACCTTGCATCCCAGCAGGGCATGCTGGTGCTCCTCCAAATCCTGTGGTGGCCCTTTCACTGTTTCGGGTCCCGCCTTCCAGCTTCAGTGTACTTCGCTGTCCACAGCCCACCTCCACGTCTTTGTAAGGGCCTCATCCCTCAAACTCCTGGGCCTGCTCGGCCTGGGAAAGCGAAGCTGCGGGTGCTCTCTCTGCCCACCGCCCAGAGGGCCTTTCGTCAACGGCTCACTAGTGGGGCTGGCCGTTGCAGATACGGGAAATCCCAGCTCTTTGACCCCACCTTGGGACAACTCTAGG